ATGCCGATGCTGATATTACCGTTCACCAGAAACCATCGATTTCTTAATTGCAAATATATCCCAAGCCTTAGGCCAGAGGGCTTAGGGCGTAGTGTTTAGGGTTTATGGGTTCCTCTGGGATCCCCCCCCCAAACAATTTTTCCCAACCTTGATTAGGGGGCCCCCCGTTTATTTCAGACCCCGGACTTGTTTGGGTGGGGGGGGGGAGGGGGCTTTAGAATCAGAACCCCCCATTACTTGGTTAGCATATTTAGCTCCACACATTCTCTTGTAGTCACTATCTGGATATGGTCGACTGTCCCCGAACATGTTTTGACAGAACCAAGAAAAATGAAAATGACCATTCCATTCTATACGCCATGTACCTACGTCATGCCACACAAAAAACATGGCATGTGTACCAGAACATACCGTAAGACTCCTTGTGGAAAAAAAAGTGTTGTGTAAAGCCGCACCACAAACTCCGTAGAGCCCAAAGAGCCCCAAACTGGAGAGCTCGAAACCAAAAATTCCAAACCTTGAACCTTCTAAGCCCTTGAACGAAACCCCTCCAACCCTCAACTCTCCAGCTTTCCACTCCCCTCGAAGGAGGAGGGGCTTTTGGGCCTGAGCTCTTCGGGCAGCTCCTCTCTTTTCCAGCTCTTCAGCTTCAAGCACCCGGGCAACATCAACTTCGAGCTCAAGGGCCTGCTGGAGGGCAACAGTCCCTGGAGAGTTTGGAGGTTTGATTGGTTTGGCCTGCGCTTTTGGGCTAAGAGGGTGTAGGGTGTAATTAGTGGTTGAGGCGTTGAGGCAACACGGTCTTAGAGATTGGGCGTTAGGTTTTTACAATGAGAGGTCTAGCAGGTTCGATCTTCGCCAGTCGTGGCCTTGCTCGTTGAGTTTTCTTCTTGGACGCTCAGGGTGCATGGAAGGTCAGTGTACTATGCGTTCTTCAGGTTGCCTGCTTACTCTCAGGTTCGGTTATCAAGCCGAATATTATCACCTACTCCCCTGAACTTCGAAGTAGGTACAGTATGGGCTCCGAAGGACAAAGTCCAAACACTAAACTGTTCAGTGACTAAACGCCTGCTAAACCCTAAACCATAGACCCTAAACCCTCAAAAAAATACGCCCCAAACCCTACACCCTATGAACAACGCCAAGCCCCGCGCTCGTCAAACCTAGACCTTAAATCCCACACCTGGGGCTTAGTCGGGGACCTAGGCCTCGAGCTCGGCATGCGCATGGGCTTCGGGCCTTTCAAGTCCGAGGAGAAGAGGCTCAAGCTAGTGGATATCGTGGACCAGTTCCAGCGATGAATTTTGAATAAGTTGTCCTTTGTTCCGTACAAAGAAGAACATGATCGATGTGTGCCATCAGCCAAGATCAGTGAAGGTTCGCCGTGACCCTGAACGCTCTGCCCTTTGTGTCCTCAAAGAGCAAGGAGAAGGCGCTGGATGCTCTCCGCTCCTTTTCCACGAACTACGTGCCACCTACGGTCCTTGAGCCGGGCACCATGGTGGCCCTTTACAACAAGAAGCTTGCATGAAGATGGAGACAATCTCTGATGTTAGGGTCTGGAGATATTTCTTCATGCTTCTTATTGTAAGACTTGAGAAGCAGCTCAAACGAAAATCTCTGACTGGGGGTCCAAGACCAGCTGAGGCAGCACGAGCGGTACATAAGGGCCTCAGACAGGCGCCGGGGCCGGGATCTTGGGTCGACCAGCCGCATGAAGGCCCGTGACCTGCGGACAACGTGGGACCGAGAGTATTTCACAGTGGTGGACGCAGGCAACGGGGAGGTCGCATTTCACAACCCGAGGTTCAACCGTTTCATCAGGATGCAGAGTAAGACGAATATGGACATGAGCGGGGACCGGGCCCTGCTCCCGTCCGGTTGGAGGCATGAGCGGTTCACGCCCGTGAATGCCGGCAACGGCGAAATTGCTCTTTATTGCCGAGCACATCGCCGCTTTGTGCAAATGCGGTGGCATGGCGTCATGACGACGAAAAACCAAGACTTGGATGCTGACGACCTGTCGCCCTCATGGAAGTTCGAGCGCTTTACCGTGGTCCAAGGCAGGAGAGGGGTTAGTTAAAAGAAAAACACAAAAATGAAAAGGAACAAAAAAAACGGACCAACAACAACAAAAATATTGGATTCTGTAGTAAAGCTCAATAGCTCTGGCCTCCCGAGCAGGGACCAAAAAGAGCAACATTTTCGCGCCCCGAGCTGGAGGAGGAAAGAAAGAAAGAAAAGATGAAAAAAAGAAAGAAAGAAAGAGAGAAAGACAGAAACAACGAGATGATCTATTGTCGTTTTCATTCTTTCCATTATCGTTCATCATGGTTGATCAGTTTTTTCATAATCATTCAATGTTCCTCTGGTTTTCCATCTTGTTCCAATATTTTTCATCGCGTCTCACATTTCGATGTTTTTCATGGTTGTGCCTCATGTTTCATCATTTTCAGTGTTTTCATGGTTTTTGCCGGTTTTTTTCATCATCTCACGAGTTTTCAGCATTTTCACTATTTTCATAGTTGGCCTTCGTTCTTAGTTGTTTCACAAATGTTCATGATGTTTCATGTTTTCATAATTTCTCGTCATTGTTCATCATATTCCATGATTTTTCATGATTTGTCAGGTTTTGTCGTCATCTTTTTCATCGTTTTCAGGAGATTTCACGAGTGTTAAGGCACTTTTTGCCTTTGTACCCTCATTTGTTTATTCTTATTTCCAGATCAAACGCGGCGGAAGAAGGCACATGTTCTAATCCAGGTTTTACAAGTGGGGGCTGCGCCCCCCCCAACCCCCGCTGTTATTTTGCAAGGCACAAGTACGCAAGCATTTGTCATCATGTCCCTCACCATGTTTTGTTTAAGGAATTCTTTGTTTAGTATTCATCATTTTCATTATTTTCGTCATTTGTCCTATTGGTATTCATTTTCACCATTGCTCATAACCGTCATAGTTGTCATCATCCTCATCTTTTTTGATCATGTTCATGCCCTTCTCATCATTAATCACATCACATTGC